GATTATGAAAAATCTTGCTGCGATATATTGGCAGCTTGGGAGTTTCAGAAATGCAGAGGACCTCCAAGTGGTGGTACTGGAAAAAAGGACACAGATATTGGGCCCAGAACATCTGGATACTCTGGCTGCTATGTCAGGTCTTGCAGCCACATATTGGAAGCTGGGGAACTTTACGGATGCAGAGGAGCTCCAAGTGGTGGTGCTAGAAAAGAGGAGGCACATATTGGGACCAGAGCATCCTGATACTCTAGCTGCCATGTCGAATCTTGCAGTCACATATCACAGTCTGGGGAAACTTGCAGATGCCAAAGAGCTCAAGGTAGCTGTGTTAGAAAAGAAGAAACAGATATTAGGCCCAGAACATCCCGATACTCTGGATGCTATGTCACGTCTTGCAGCCACATATTGGAAGTTAGGGAGATTTACAGAGGCAGAGGAGCTTGAAGTAGCCGTGCTGCAAAGGAGTAAACAGATATTGGGTACAGAACATCCTGATACTTTGGATGCCATGTCCAATCTTGCTGTCACATATCACAGTCTGGGTAAATTCTCAGATGCCGAAGAGCTTCAAGTAGCTGCGCTAGCAAAGCGGAAACAGATATTGGGCTCGGAACATCCAGATATTCTGGAGGCCATGTCAAATCTTGCAACCACATATTGGGACCTGGATAAATTCACAGCTGCTGAAGAGCTTGATGTTGCTCTGCTGGAGAAAAGGAAGCAACTCTTAGGGACAGAGCATCCAGAAACTCTGACTTCTATGAGAAACTTGGCACTTACTTATAAGCATCTGGGGAAGTTCATGGAGGCAGAACATCTCCTGTTGACTGTGGTTGAAATTAGGGCTCCAACATTAGGCCCAGAGCATAAGGACACCATACGAACTCGGGGGGACTTGACAAAAGTACAGCGGCTTATTGAATCTAGTTGGCATGCTGTATCTTCCGAGGTTGTGGGAATATAGTATTAGTACCCATGAATGCCTTTGTTATTCAACCCTGTATCTGGTTGGATACTGTTAGGTTCTCACCCCATTATCACATAGTCCTGATATGTGAAACAAATAACACATGATAAGACATTGAGTCACAAGTCATTAAACCTTTATGTAAGTAATTCTCAGTTGTGGTGCTAGAATGGGAGCTTGTTTAAATATGTAAACTTGCCGGGATTTAATAGAATCAAATCCAAGTCAATTAGACTCTGATACAGAGGTGATTTGGATTCTTCTGGCTCAGAGAATATACCAGGAATATCGAAAAAAACTGGACTTGTTGCTAGATCCTGATGACCAGTGAGACCACAGAATCAAGAGCACTGGTAACAAGTGGCAGTAATTTTTACCGGAGGCTCTATATTGATTTGAAACCACAACTAATACATGACTAAGTCGACGGAAGGTCGGAGTTAATGCTAACCATTACGAGTCCTAATATCATATCTTTAGGATTCGTTCTTGTCAGCTCTTTACCTGCCAAAATCTCATCAAAATTCAGTGTTTTTTGATTGAGATTAGAACTCCGATATCATGTACTGCTTTTCGTTCCGAGGTTCGGCCGTCTTTTCAATTTTTCAATTGTATGCACACAACCTATGGGAAAAGTGTTGGGAAAAAGTGTTGGGGAGGCCAAAATCCACATCCAACATGTCTGCTGGAGTTCAGCGGAATCCGGCGAACGGGGCCGGCTTTGCCGGTCCGCGCATGTCACTGCAAGTGTGACGGATTGTGAGGTATGTTACATACCGTATGTATGAGCGAGATTTTTTTGAAAAGAGCCTCTGCCTCGTCCCATTCTTCGACTTGCCTACGCAATGTTTCTCACTATTCATCCCCCTGAATCTCAACGCACCGCGCTGTAGGGAATCTCATTCAACAGCTTTGGTAAGACTCCACCAGATGTGCTTGAAAAAAAGCTCAGTGGATTGAAGGGCGCCAGTAGCTGGGAATCCTGTATTTCGCTGAAATTTTAAATACAAGAATATCAGAGATGAGATGCCCCATTGAAAGAGACGCGAGAGTTACAAAATGTAGTTCCTTCCAAGATCGCCCGCCTCGAACTTGAATTTAATTAAAACAATACCGGAAGTCGTGCAATCTTTCCGCACAGTCCTCGAATCAGGAATGAGTGGCCGAATGAAAACAGAGAAGTCCAGCGGGGGTGCAGGAGGGGAGTTTGAGCGAAGGTTCGGGACAAGGAGTTCCTGAGCCAAAATCATGGGATCATAACATCACCACACAAACCATCTCTCTGCAGCTGCTTCGATGATATATTCTTCAGCGCTCGGGATACGGACTTTTGGCCTCAGCAATGAATTACTCTAGCTCTAATCTTCTTTCCCGTCCCTCTGGAATTTTCCGCCGTTTTCTTGGGCTTTGAGACTTGCTCGAGACACCAATGTCTGCGGAAGATTTGCCGCTGGCAGCTTTGGTATGAACCTTCTCTGCGCGGCGTGCAGTCGCGCGCGCGCGCTCTACATCCACCACCCGGCTCGCGCTGCATCCCGCACGACTCGCGCTGAGGATTGCCCGGCTCACGCTGGCGCTTCTCCCGTACCCACACGCCGCAAACCGCGCGTTGCGACCCCTTCCTGTACACGCGACCACCCATTCCGCGCTTACGCCCCTCGCGCCCCTTCGCCAGATACGCCCCGCCATCCGGCTGCGCGCTCTTTCCTTCGCCACTACTGTCTGCGCGGCCCGCACCTTCGCCACATACCCTGCCCATTCCCCGACTCCCGTAGCCACGCCGACAACCGCGCGCCCCGTACGCTCCGATTTCACCATGGACTATACACTGCCCACTACCCCGTTTACCCGCAACGACGACGACCGAATCGACGCTCGCGCTCCGGACGCCCTTTGCGCCTTCGCAGATATGCTGCCCACCGCCCGGCTCCCTTCTCCCCTACCCCCGATGACCCGATATGCGCTCGCGACCCGCGCGCCCCTTCGCCAATACGTTGCCCTCTCATACCCGCACGACCCACTCCTCTGCGCCCGCACCCCGCGCGTTTGAACGTACGCGGCCGACCATCCAGCTAGCGCTTCTCCCGTTCCGCGATGGCGGAGTCCACGCTCGCCCCGCCCGCCCCGAGGCCGCTTTGGCGAGCTTTCGGAGTGGGTGTGGGGTGGCGGGAGATGGTGAGGGAGTACATGCCGGGCAGGAGCGGCGCTGGTGCGGCGCGAAGGCAAGAGGGAGAGTGCGTATAGAGGGGACAGTCCACCACAGATTCCCCATGTACGTCGTTCTTGCGCGCCCAGATCCACTGCATCCTGCTAATCCTGCGCACAGCCCTTTCTTCTCGTCGCAAGACCGCGCACTCGTCGTTTCGCAGGCACGGAGTGAGCTCCAGAGGACGGAGTGGCGATGATACCGCATCGGTCTCCAATGGCGGACCCTCGCGAATGTCATGGAGCAGAGACGCATGCAGTTCGTGCTCCAGCCCTGTACGCATAGCGCGCGCGATGGGAGAGCGTTCTATGCTGGATACGACGTCGATGTAGCGTGGCCGATGGACACGGCGAGCCAGGGCGCATCGGCAGAGATATCCTCCCTCAGGAGGACCTCGAGTCGGAAGGGTGCGTGCCCCGTGCTATAACTTATATATCTGCTTCTCGTACTGACAGGCCTGATAAGCTACGTCAGCTTTTCGTCGAGCCGCAGCTCCCGCGCGCGACGGCGCAGCTGTGGCTAACGAGGGCTAAGACGACGATGACCGAGATGGGCGCGGGGGCGCGGGGGAAGGAGGAGGGACTGCGAGAGGGCGCGGATACTCTTTTACTGACTGGTATGCCTTCTTCCATGTCTTCGATCTCTCGTTCACGCTGCTACCAAGCTTCTCGCCCCTTTCATTCTTCTTCCCATCGCGCTCCGTCAACGGCGCCTTCTGCGGGATACACGAAACCGTCCTCACATCGGCGCGATGGCTCGGAGGAGTCTGCGGCGGAACGTGCGGGCAATGCAGCCCGCTTTGCTCAGCCGTGCTCTTCCCCACGTCGACGACATTGCGCAATGCACGCTCTTCCCGCTTGCGGAGACCCCCTTCACCTTCTTCCACGCTGGTTTGCTACCGAGGCGGCGTCTCGTCGAGGACGCCAACCGCGGGTACTCAAGCCGGCAGCAACCTGCGTACGACGCTCTGGATTCGGATCCGGAGGGCGGGCATTCTCTGGCGACTCTGCGTGCGCGCCGTGCCCATACCTGTTGGGTCCGCGCAGCGCCACGACGCGGTGTCAGCGTTTCGCCAGCCAAGGTGGCGTAGATGGGAGGGGATGTGGCGTGGAGGGAACGAGGGGTTTACGCGGAAGGGAGGAGTTCCGTATACTTGGATTACGCGTTTGCTGCTTGACGGCATGGGGACGCGTTGCTCGTCGAGGGCGCACCGGCTCCCAGGGACGCGCATCAACTTGGAGAGCGGCGTCTCGACGATACACCTTCCTTCCTTCCTTCTCCCCTTCGCGTCCTCCGAGGGGAGATGGGAAGCCAGGAGAACGCAGTGGCCCCGTCCCCGCACTATTCGCTACGTGCGCTCTCGCTCCCCTCGCACACCGCCCATACCCTCCATTCCTGGCGTCCTTCCGTCTGTCTATTGATGTTGCCGAGTGTGGCGATGCGGTTTCCTTTTTGGAAAACCACCTATTGAAATCTTTGTATCCTCGGAGTCATGGACTCTCCTCCCGTATTTCGTCATTTGTTGTTTGTTTACTCTCTAATATAGTCCCTCGGACATTGTAATTTTCATCTATCGTATTGCATTGATGTGCGAGTTTCACACTTAGAGACATTTGGCCTTACTTACATACTAGCATTTTGCGGTTGTGCGCACATTTATATTGTGTGCAGCCCTACCTACCTGCCCGAGTGCTGATCATCCTTGGAGTGCCTCTGGATTAGTTTGCGTTCGATCACATCGACCAAATGGGTAAATAATTATAATAAATAATAGTAGTAACTCTGCTCGCTTACACCTTATATATTTTCGCACTTTAATTGTGTTTTGCCCAAGTGGTTATGGTGGTATATTTTATTGATTTTTGTCTTGCGGTTGCAGGTTCGAACCTTGCCTTGGGCAACTCTTTTTTTTTTCACTTCTCCTTTTCTTGTGTCCCCGTTGCAGAACTTAAGGATTTGGCTCGTTCTGGTCCCTGTAATATTAATAGCAAAAAAGAACCCGAGATAAGTGAAAGTTTTGCCGCTTTTTTGGGGACTGTCTGCCATACTGCCGTCGTTACTTTTGAGCTCAGTCTTTACCTATATATCCCTCAAATATTGGTGCATACTTGAAACAACTATGTAAACAGTGCCTAGTTTTGCTTTTGCGATTTATGTCTTCCTTAGGGTACTGTTAGCTGATATTGCCTCGGCATTGATGGTATCTCGTGGTTGTGTTCATATTTTTAACATTTAGGGGGTAGACACTCTTTAGATAAGTTTACCATCCACTTTTCACCTTACAAACTAGAGCCCAAAATGAGTGTATGCAGAGAATTCCCGATCGCCATCATCGGGCAGTTTGAATTTAGCACTGCATTGCCGACCGAAACATAAATGATCCCATCAATATGTGAAAAATTACATAATAATTACAATCTGCAATCTAGTACCCCCCCACTGACACGAGTATCGTGCCAACTGCGTAGCCTGTGTTGCCGTTCAGCCTTTCAGCCCAACCCTTAAACATCCTCATAGAACCCACCTTCTGCAGACTCAGCTATATATTTTTATCCATTCAGTGCCCATCAGCCTTTTGACATATCTGTTGTGAGATTTTGGGGTTTTTTAGGGTTCCCAGGTTTTTTCAAAAAAAGAAAAAGCTCTGAAACTATGTGTGAGTGAGGGAGCAATGATAGACAAAAAGTTTTTTTTCCGAGGTTTTGCAAAATTGACTACATGTTCAGAGGTTCAGAGGTTTTTGGGTTTTTGGCCCAAGTTTTTGGATTTGGCAGGTGTTTTGACGTTTTTTGGCATCAAAAAACGCCAAAAACCTGACAACAGATATGTCAAAAGGCTGATGCCAGACTAGCAGTGGACCCCTGCTTCGCTACGTAGAATTGCTAATCTCGGCACAGGTTGTTGATTAACCAGCTAAATATTGTCCTCAACTTCATGGTGGCTCCCATGTGAAATCAGAAGGAAGAAGAGCAGTATTGATTTATGTAAACTGTGGTACTACTTGAACCACTTTCACTGAGTTCAATTTAGCAGAGTCGCAAATGATAATTTCAAAGCCCAGCTTGAGTTCATGAAGTCTACAGCCACGCATTGCCGACACTCCTCATGGCCCATGCACATGCCCCTAGTCAAACCAACAGGAATAAGTAGGCCCATGAAACCATGGTACAGTATTAGTTTCATTGAGCTCAGGCTGCAAACAAAAGTGTATAGTAAAAATACTAAAAGAGTCCTGGGCACTTTCCAAAGCCTTTCTGGTCACATCAGACCTGATATCCTTTTCATATTTTGTAGTCAAAAAATGTACAACCAGAAAAACATTATAAAATTCAGTGATGAACCCATCGGTGAGTGTTTCTCCACACACACATGATAACTGGGTCCCATTATCTCCCATCAGGTAGGAAAAAAAGTTGTCATCAAAAGTGGTTCAAGCCATTAGCCATCCATTTGCGCAATGCAAAAAAGCCATCTGATGGCTCTGATGGCTGCAGTGCAAACTCTCTATTCACCCCACATTGCTCAGACTCAGAGTCCAATTGAATTGGATTTCATACCATCAAGGCCTAGGGGAATTTACAACTTGAATCAAATTCCCAGCAACACAGTCGAGCACTAACTACTTACCTAAATATTTAATGATCTGCGACTCGAGGCATAACAATGTGCGTTATTCACTACATAGGTCGGAATTCTGAACTATGGAAGCAGGCTCAAATGATAATGGCAAAGCAAATAATACAGGGTGGTTATACAACTTGTACTATGGGATGTCAACTGGGGAATCACTGGATATTTGACTGGTGGTATGTAAATGTTCAATATGCTGCTGCATTTCTGCCAAGTCTTCCTCAGCTTTGATGGTATCCTTATGATCTGGACCCAATGCTGAAGCTTTCTTGTCAAGCACAGCCAACAGGAGATGCTCTGCCTCCTTCAATTTCCCCAGAGCCCTGTAAATAAGTGCCAAGTTTCTCATAGAAGTCAGGGTGTGTGGGTGCTCTGTTCCAAGGAGCTGCTTCCTTGTTTCCAGCACAGCTACTTCAAGCTCTTCAGAATCTGCGAATTTATCCAGCTTCCAATATGTGGCTGCAAGATTTGACATGGCAGCCAGAGTGTCGGGATGTTCAGTGCCCAATATCTGTTTCCGCTTTTCCAGCTCCGCTGCTTGGAGCTCCTCTGCCTCGGTGTGTTTCCCTAGACTATGATATGTGGTAGCAAGACTTAACATGGCAGCCAGAGTATCAGGATGTTCAGTGCCCAATATCTGCCTCCTCTTTTCCAGCACCACCACTTTGAGGTCCTCTGCTTCTGTGAGTTTCTCCAGATCGTGATATGTGACTGCAAGACCTGACATAGCGGACAGAGTATCGGGATGTTCTGCACCTAATATCTGTTTCCTCTTTTCCAGTACCACCACTGTGAGATCCTCTGCATCTGCGAGTTTCCCTAGAGCGTGATATGTAGCAGCAAGACTTAACATGGCAGCCAGAGTATCAGGATGTTCAGTGCCCAATATCTGCCTCGTTTTTTCCAGCACCACCACTTTGAGGTCCTCTGCTTCTGTGAGTTTCCCCAGATCGTGATATGTGACTGCAAGACCTGACATGGCATACAGAGTATCGGGATGTTCTGTGCCTAATATCTGTTTCCTCTTTTCCAGCACCACCACTGTGAGATCCCCTGCATCTGTGAGTTTCCCTAGAGCATGATATGCAGCTGCAAGCTCTAACATAGCATGCAGAGTCTCCGGATGGTCTGGACCCAATATCTGTTTCCGCTTTTCCAGTACCACCACTTTGAGCTCCTCTGCATCTGTGAGTTTCCCCAGATCATGATATGTGATTGCAAGCCTTGACATGGCCTCCAGAGTATCAGCATGCTCTGGGCCCAATATCTGTTTCCTCTTCTCTAGCACCACTACTTCAAGCTGCAATGCATCTCTGGATTTCCCCAATTTCGAATAAATGGACCCGAGATTTGCCATCGCATCCAGTGTTTCTGGGTGTTCATTGCCAAAGATGTGCTTTCTATCCTCCAGCAAGGCCACACAAAGCTCCTTAGCATGGTCAAAATGACCGGAGTCATAGTATACTCGCTGAAAAGGAAAAATGAATTTATGGCCCAGCTGATGGTCTCCATGGAGCACAGAGTTGATGTGGGGGAGGAGACTGTTGAGGAACACTTGGCTGTCCGAATTTGTCATAGTGGACATTGCAAGTATAGCTGCAGAGCACTCTCGGGTGGAATTGATATCTATGATGGTCTTTCTACTCCAATCATGCACCAAGGGGTGGATTGAGAACAGGCTGGTGTTTGGATCTTCGTTGATCAATGAGTATCCCTTGATTTCAGCGGTTATATCAGTGAAGTGGAGATCATCCCAGTTCCCTGCCTGTGTCAGAAATTTGTTGAGGAATTTGCAAGGCTCCTCTATTTGTTCCTGTGTAGGTCCCAAGGTATGAAGTTTGTACATGGCAGCATTTGAAAAGATGGCCTCTGATATTCCCTCATGGTGTAGGAAGGAGCATATCTGCAAGAATGCGGCTGCCAGTGGGCTCAAACACTTGAAGCTGATGTCCCATGTTGTATACACTGACCAGGCATATTTGTCATGGGTCTGGTCTGGCTGCCTGCTCAGAAGTTCGGCACGATTTTGCTCATAAAGTGCAAGGTATTTCCTGAGAGTCCCGGTCCTCGCAATAAATGCACCTGCTTGGACAACCGCAAGGGGGAAACAGTAAAGAGCCTTCAAAGAGTGAGGCAAATGATACCCGCAGATCTGAGGAACAAATACCTTGACAATATCTCTTGCAAGATTTTCTGTTGCAGAGGTGCCAGGCTGGATGGCACTAGCCAGTAAGAGCCGAACTGCATCTTCTTCCTCCATATCAGAGATGTGATGATGGGCATCCGGTGCATGAACATGGAGTTGGGGATTCCGTGAGGTTATCAGGATGTTGCCACTGGAGCTTAGAGGAAAATAATTGAATAGATTAATGCTGGGGTCATCTGCATTATCAAATATCAGCAGCCACTCGTCCTGAGAGGAAGCTAGCCAGCGAGAAGCATCATCATCTTTGTTTCCGATGGACCGAGTGAGAGCAATATTTTTGAGCCCACCCTTGATTGTGTCAATCGTGCTGGCATCAAGAAAAAACACATCCGTGAATCTGTGGAGTGAGTTTAAGAATGCAAATAATTGGTTCTGTGTGAAGGATCATACCGAAATTTGTCAGTTTCATCCAGAAATTTCAGACAAATCTGTGTCTTCCCTGCACCACCCAGTCCATGCAACAGAGAAACATGGCGCTTTCCGATATCCTGTGAAAAATAGACATGCATTTTGTCCAGGATGTCTCTTCTCCCATGGAACATGTGGGATGGAGGGGGACAGGATGTGGTTACAGGAGGAGGTGAAGCTTGTGTAACAGGCACACTTGCTTCATTGGGTACCTCAATTAAATGGGAGTAAAAAACAAGAGATGAGCATACCATTGATGTTGAGCTGGGCAAGAGAGTTGAGTTGGGCAACAGACATCAGCTTGAAGCACAGATGAGTGATAGGAATCTACTGTTAATGCTGGACTCACCATGAAATCGCTACGCAGTTGTTCCACTCGGTTTTTGTATCTGGCCAGCTCATCACCAATACTGGTTGACTTGATAAATTCCTTGAGGACCCCACGAACTCGGCTCTTTTGATTCTTCTGGATTTGTCCCACTTTCAGTTCAATTTCGTGCAGTAAACTGGGCTGAATTGTAGGAAAAGATTGAGTGATGTGATATGATGGCCATACCTTCGCAGATCCTCACAGAGCCTTTTAAGGCTGTTTGTAGCATCTGCACCATGTGGGGTGATCTTCTCCAGTATAGTCACGGTGTTGACAATGCTCTCGC